AATTAACGATCTTTTTTTTTTTAATTTTAATCTTTACACATTTTTCTTCGTAGTTTTCCCATCATTCTCCAAAATTCCGCGTGATATACGAGTAATTGCTGGAAGCACCGCTCGTCTGGAGTGCTCTGCTGAGGGACAACCATCCCCGCAAATAGCCTGGCAGAAGGACGGTGGAAACGATTTCCCAGCTGCGAGGGAAAGACGAATGCATATGATGCCGACAGACGACGTACTATTCATAATAAACGTGAAAATGGCCGATAGTGGAGTTTATTCGTGCACTGCGCAAAATCTGGCTGGTGTTATTGTTGCAAACGCTACTCTTACAATATTAAGTAATGATACTATTTCAAAAAGTAATGCTATTTTTTTTTTAACTAATCGAAAGCATTTTTCGAAAATATAAAAATTATTCTTATATGTATAATACTTATAAAAATTTTTTTTTTTAGAAACACCGTCCTTCGTAAAACCGATGGAGAATAAAGAAGTAACGATAGGTAGCTCGATCGTGCTTGAATGCATGGCCAGCGGTTCGCCACGTCCGAAGTTATCGTGGTACAAGAACGGTAGTCCGCTGCAAACAACGGAACGTCATTTCTTCACTGCAGAAAATCAACTTTTGATCATCGTTAGTACAATCGCTAGTGACGAGGGTACCTACGAATGCAAGATAAGTAATTCACTAGGTAGCGTCGTCGGCGAATCGCATCTCACAGTCAAGCCAGGTAATTTTAATTATTAATATTACGATTGAAGGATTTTTATGCTAAGTTTCTCCTTGTTTAAACATTTTTTTACTTTTTTTAAATTAATAGATAATTAAAGAACTCTTGAAAATGTCAAACAATAAAATAATAAGAGTAAATGGAAACAAAGCACTGTAGTTGATGCACACTTAAAATAAATACAATAAGCTATCTTATTATTAAAAAGAATTACACACGCACACACAAGAAAAAATCTCACGTAAGTTCCAATAATGACAAAAGATTATTTATTTGATATGTAGCCCCGGTTTCCACGCTGAATGAATCCGAGATACTAGGCATAATAATAATAACCGTGGTTATTTGCGCGGTCATTACTTCCGTGGTCTGGGTGCTTGTGATTTACAAAACCAGACGACAGTTGAATTCCACGCAGGATGTCATCACGCAACCAACGACTGTTATACTAACCAGCGTACCAGAGGTACAAACGCAGCTGTACCTGGACACGAGCTCACAGCACAGTAAAGACAGTGGGACCGGAGACAGCACTAATCCTAGCAACGATCAACTACAATTATGTTTGCCCGGTAAATAATTTTTACATTGTTAAAGACTGTAAAAACATTAGTATTTCCATCATAAAACCGCAGTTTGTTACGTGATTTTATATTTAACATTAATGTATTTTATTGATTATCGCAAATAACGTTATGTCCTTATTTCTATCAGAAGAGGTCGTGATAAGCTCTGCCAATAACGATGAAGAAATGGGAACTATAAACGATCCTCTCTTGCATTACACGAATCATGAGCGACATGCGAGTGAAAACGTCGATAGCGCGGTCTGAAACGAAGACGCGAGTTGAGCAAGCAGAGTTAACATTTGTAGCGTTTCTGCAGTGAGTATTTGTGAACGCGGCTAATCTTTAAATCAGGATATAAATATTCTGCAAGTCGTGTACATTAACGAGCCATAGTATTATGAGGAGCAAGGACTTATCAGTCCCACTGTCAAAAAAGTGACCTATAGTGGACGTTGATCCGCCCGACAGTCCAATGCACAACAGAGTATTCATTACTATTGCATAAGGATCAGCGAGTCACATGCATAAGTACAACATAAGAAACGATAGCGAAACACTTACATCGTCATTGTATTTATTATTGACGCGACTCTCGTTCAATTGACGTAGAAACATTGAGCGATATAAAATGTAAATAGTTAGATTAAGGTCCTATAAAACTAGTATTATAGCGTGTATCGCTCATTTGGCGTCTCCTGGAAATGCAATGCTTGTACAGGTCTATCTTGCAGACAATTTTTCGGACATACAGTATTCAAGCGAGAACGAAAATCTGTTACAGATCATTTTTTTTTTTTTTTTTTTTACTATAATGATGTATATTAATTATCTGTTTAAAAATTTGATGTTAAGTTGAAGTTCCGCTTAATTGACTTGTGAAATGTGGCGCTTGTTGAACATACCAGAAAATTACTTAACACATTATGGCGTTAAACACATTTAAACGCATTCCCTGTAGCATGTATTCAGTAAATATTTATTCGATTGCACAAGTGTTGCACCTTTCCTAAACATAGCCATTGCGACGCGCGCGAGGACATTGCTATATAAACTATAAAAGCCACTATATTAAACCAGCCTTTTGTGATAGATATTTATTCTAGAGTTATTGCGTAGGCGGCTATTTATGAATGAGAAGAAAATATGAGAACAGAAATATTGCATTCTGGAAAAACGCAATTATTAACGTGGGTGGATGTATATTTATGCACCAAAGCGTTGAATTTAGATACTTTGTTTTCTCTCTTACTTCGCAGTCGTGTGCGACACTAAACCGTATTCTGGATTAATTTAATTCATTTACTGATCAAAATGTTGCTCACTATTAATAGATACATTGTGTTCCAGATATGTAGGATCTTTAGCTTTCGTAGGCATTTTCGTTAGTATTAATATCGACTAAGTTGAAACGCATACGACATGAGACTTTACGGATAATCTTCCACGTACTGTTACGTATAGTTTATAGTTGTTTTCAGGGTTTGAGTAGTGTTTGTGTTGGGGATCTCGAGGTTCTTCATTACTACATATTAATAATTAATAATTAATTATGAAAGATATAAAAATTTATTTTTGTTTTCCTCTGTGATTTTTGTATTTGCATATTGAAATCTGTATGATTGCGAGATATTTGGATCGAAGTTTTTATTATGTAACAATGTAAAAACATTTTTTTTGTTAATTGCAGTATCTCATTTTATTTCGTACTCAATCTAAAATATTTGAATATATTGATATTACGTCGTTATGGGATAAAGTTGTGTACTGTTAATAATATTAATAGCTTTTTCATAGTGTACTTGTGACAGTTTTTACTTATGAATATTTCGATTTATTCGATATGTACATTTTATATGTATAAGTAAAAGAACTTTTGAAAAGATGCTCTTTAGAAGAAAGAAACAGTAGGAGAAAGAGAGAGCGAGAATATTGTTTAATAAAAAGATTCAAACGCGATAACGCGATAATGATTATTATGAAAGTAAAAATTTCAACGAATGCCTTTACTGCATCAAATGGATATAATATTATTGGGAGAAAACTTTCGTAATATATATAATCTATATATTTTTCTATCACTTATATTGCAAAAAAAGAATTTTAAAAATCATATGAAATTCGCACAAAGACAAAGAGCCAGTACTACTTTAATTACTTAATTAACCGTAAATTCGCGTGATTCCTTCCATGAATTATTACTCCTTATTTACGCAAGTGTCTTATATGCGCAGAGTATAACGTGCTCATTACAAGTAAAATTCAAGTATTGTATAAATTAAAAATAGTCTATAATATTCCAATTTTGTGTAACTCGTAATGTATATGTTTAAACGATATGTGAAAGCAGTTTTTCGAATAAGATGGGGAGAAAAAAAGAGGATACATGTATGTTTTATTAATGTAGTCTGTGTAGAATTTTTTTCTCCTTATGAGTATTAAATTATATAGTCAACAGAGAGAGAGAGAGAGAGAGAGAGAGAGAGAGAGAGAGAGAGAGAGAGAGATGCTCTATTGCGACATGATTTTTAGGCTTGCGCCCGTGTGATACACCAAATAAGGCATCTGTTTCTCATTCAGTATTTTCCTTGTTATATAGTATTGTGTACAAATACAAATAATCATCTACAATATATCTTGTACGTTATTTATCCACAATATTAAAGCTTTTAACATCACTTACCTTATGACAAATTATCCTTAAGTTCTGTTAATAAAAGAAGAGAGGAATGCATAAACTTATTTCAGTATTAACTATAATTTTACTAAAAAAACTAATACTAATGAAGGCACCGAATAAATGTACATACACATATATAAACTTATTTATACATACACTTTTATCGAGATGACTGAAAAGAATTGCAGATAAAATTATCTTTGATCGTAATGCTCAATAAATATTTTCTATTTATAGATATATATCATTAGATGATTTTTCTAGATGCGACTGAGGCTTTTGTCTTCGATGTAATACGGATAGAGAGAAACCAAATGCAATGTACAGCAAAAATGTCCTACTTATTTCCAAGTATCACAATTATTCAAGTGTACATATATATAATACATATATTCTACAATCCTCTTTAATTTCGACATTTGTTGCTCGCTTGTATTTATCGCGCGGCTGAAATTCGCATTCTTTTCATATAATACATATATAATAATTAAATTTTTATTTCAATAATTCTTTTTTATAAAGAGCGAAATTGCTTGAGCGGAAGGTTAAAAAAATACGTAAGAGGGAGAATTATTTTTTCAGTACATTGTACTGAAATATTACCAAGTAATATATATGTACGTACGTGTGTTAACCTTGTTCTGTCCCTTAAAATATACGAGCAATTAAAAATCATCAATCCTTTATATATATGTAATGTATTTATAAAATTTAATTTTTTTATGCTGCGAGAGAGATCAATATTCTCTGATAATTCACCTGAAAACTGACATTTATTTTAACGCAAATCTGTGAAAAATACCATAGTATCACTTGCTTTTTCCACATAATTAATGTCACATCAGCAGAAACTTAACTCACTCTCGCACGTTTTCTGCTAATACTGCTATCGTCGTGAATAACATTATTCGCTAATTAAAATAGAACATTTACTACTTAATGCCGGATTATATAAGAGTAGATCTATATGAGATAATCTTAAAGAATTTTATCATGATGGGAAGAAAATCCAGTTCGCCGATTGCATTTTTTCTCGTGATGCGAATTTCGCCGCGTGTACGTACGCATTGAAATATAAGAAAACGCTTCCTTTGAGGTAGCATATCTCCAATACGAGACAATACATCGTTTATTTGCAATGCGATCCTCGTTACAACGAACGCCGAACGCGTGCACGATTCAAAAAAAACTACCGTCATACAAAGTTTAACAATTCGATCTCTTCACTTACATGATTATATCTAATCGATACCTGTGTAAAACTTTACTACATGCAACCACATCCCT